ATGGTCTATATCTTTTTGGCCAGCCTTTTGAAAGCTGAGATTGCAGAAGAGAGGCGTTAAAAGGTAATTTGGATTCAGATAGAAGATGAAGTAGAGAAGAGGAGCAGGATAGCTTGTAAATACGCGTCATTCGATTATATATATGGTTTTGCCGGCTAATTTTTCAACTTGTACACATTGCTACTTCTGGGCTTCACTGCGCCAAGCTAGGAAGAATGGTAATCCACTGTTCAGTTACGTGATGTACATAAAGATCCTTTTTTCCCCCCAATTAACGAATTTGGAATTTATATATTTTGCCAATATATTTCTGGCTGAGAAATTCACATTTTGCTGTGACCATTTCTTGTACTTTTTCACTGCATAAGAGAACAACTTGCCCTTTTGGACTTGTTTATTTATGATTAGATATCACTAGAGACTTCGTTCAATTCATTTTTGGTTCTGTAAACAGATATTTTGGTTCTTTTCACATAAATTCTGTAGGGATAATAATATTATGATCATGTATATAAAGTTGTCGGGGGTGTTTGGCAAGATGAAAAAGTGCTTTTAAAAATACTTTTCCATAAACCAAGACAAACTCCTTATATATTTACTTCGTATACTATAAAAGTAATTTTAAAACATGGTTTAGCTTCTATCCAAACACCCCCGTAGTAAGAGACACGAAAAGAGTGTGTATTTATTTTACTAGCTGCTTTCTGTACCTGACTGTAACTAAGTAAATCACATAACTCTAATTAACCATATTATATCTTAGAGTTAGGAAATGCAAATGTTGTTTTACCTTTTTTTTTTATACAAAAAAAATTGTTTTACCTTGATAATGGGATACATTAAAATTGGTGGATGTCTCCAGATAAACTACTAGCTATGAAATTAGCTCTTTTTGGCACAATCTGCAACGTGTTGGATTAAAAAACAGTCCTCATATTGTCATGCAACTTAAATATCTTAACGTAAACATTAGACATTGATTGATGCTGCTTTGGTTGTTTGGTCTGACTTTTGTGCTTATCTTATGGATAAGGCCCTGCACTGCAAGATCCTTATATAATAGACAAAGTTCTCGTAATATTCCCCTCTTATTTTATACTCCTCCGGTCTTTAATATAAGACCCATTTAACTAATTTGATTAGATTAAGGACGTTAGGTAAGTTAGTTAATTATAAGAAAATTGACACATTTTTCCTAAAACACCATAATTATCTTTCTTAATACCCCCTTTCTCTCTTTTACTTAATTATGGTTGAGGGAGTATCTATAGGAGTAATTTAGAGAAAATTGATAAATATGATAAATGTGTCTTATATTTAGGACCAAAATCAACTCAAGAATTGGGTCCTATATTAAGGACCGGAGGAGTATCTGCGTATGAGCACTAATGCATGAGATCTTCCTAAATCCTAACATAATATTAACTTAATATATTGTACTTCTTTTGACAAAAGTGGACGAAGGAAGGAGTGTCAAAGACAGGCGAAACGCAATTTGATTGCATTTGGAATGAATCTAATATGAAATTCAGAGTTTTGAATGCATTAGCATGTTGGTTATGGATTATATATTGAAGAATTCATTAGAAAAAACAATAGCATTAAAGATTCTGGTGGTTTGCTGATATAGATCTCTTCATTAATATTTGCAAACAGAGTTCGTTTTCTTTAGCTGACCCATAGACACACACACACACACACACACATATCACAAAATTAAATATAGGTTGGTGAAAACTGAAAAATGATATCATATACGGTTCTACTTTGTGGTGAGGTATACCAAGTACCAAGCAGTTAAAAAAACTGACTAGTATCAAAAAATTACATTGACTTAAAACTATCTCAGATTGAATTGGGTTAGATCACACTAAAGCAAAATTATATTCTTTCAACTTTGCAAAACCTGAACCCAAAGCCTATTTTAGAAAAACAAATGCTGAATAACTTGAATTGTTTATCCTTATGTGAGTTCCAATTCAGCTAGCTTATGAGTGTAAGATTATCCCATTGACGCTATGATTTTATTTTATTATTTTGATATCTATGATGAAAGGGGACAAATATGAGAACATAACGCATGGGCGTGTATATCTCTTAAATTAAGACCAAAACTTAGTCAGTGATTCATTTTTTCTGGCATTATATTCCTCTCTCTTAACTCTTGGATCAAATGAAGGAAACAAATGGGGTGTAGAAGAAGAAAACGATATAGTTTTCCTGCAAATATCCTAATTAAGCATTAATCATGATTTACATTAAGACTTGTTTAGTGATACTTGAGCTGATTCTACTACACGTGTTGTTAATTTAAGGAAGGATGATTTGTTAAGACTAATCATATGATGCTTGTCTCTCTCTACTTGTCTCTTTCCTTGTGAGGGCAAATTCTAGGAATCCTAGCAGGCCAAATTCTCCCAAGAATGAGTGGTGTTTCATGTCAAACAATTTTTAATTGATAAATCCAAAAACGTTAAAAATAATGGCATAAGATCATTAAGAACAAGTTCCCAAGGCAGTGGATCGACGCAACTTTATTTATGTGTGTGTATTGATATCTATCTAATCTGAATTTCATAATTTTATCTAGCCGATTGCAGAGTCCTGGCCATAATAACAATGATGAGGAGATTTATTTATGTTTAATTTTCTTATTTGTGACGTATGGATAATTTTTTAACTCCATATATACTTACACTAACATAAAGCATACCAATTACCATGCTGAATACTGCCATTGGGATATTGGTTTGTTGATGGTTAATTTCCTTTTTCTGCATAAAAGAGGGCTAAGCCCAAGCACAAAAATTAAAACTCAGGGAAATCAGATCCCATACACTCTTTTGTAACCAAAGATCTCAAATACAGCGGGCAAGAATCCAATATTGAAGAGCTTGAAGACCATCCTTCGCTAAAAGCCTCGGCCAACTTGTTCTGTTCACGAGATATGTGATGTAAAGATACTTCCCAGGAATAATTCATCAGCTTCAAAAGCTGCCCAACGTCTAAACTTGCTCCCTTATTAATGGATTTAGGGGATAATAGATCCACCAGGTTCTTTGAATCAGACTCAAGTATAATCCTCCTAAATCCAATTAGATCCCAGGCAAGCATGAGTCCCTTTAAAATTGCTCACTTTTCAGCCTCATTAGCATTACAGAAGCCAATAAAATGAGTAAAACCGGCAATCCACTTACCAGCATCATCATGTAAAACGCCCCCACAGCCTGACTTCTTATTGGTGACGCACATGGCACCATCCACATTCAACTTAACCCATCCCAAGGTGAGCAAAATTCCTCCATGTTTGAAGGAAAACAGACGCAGGATCTATAGGCTTACTAAAATCATTTTCAGACACACTACGATTCCTCCAATCCCAAAGCTTCCATATCGCTACTGCCACAATCAAGTTCCACATGCAATTCAAGTCATTACCTAAATTCCTTTTGATATTAAAAGCAAACCGGTCTGTTAATCAAGGTGCAAAAAAACTGGAATAATACCTCGGATGCATAAAGGCAGTCTCTAAGAATATGCATAACGTCCTCTGTGCCAGCGTCACAAAACGGGCAAACAACAGAAGTGGAAGACCACTTGCTTCTCCAAGCATTGGTACGTAGCTTCTTGTTGAAAGCAATCCACATGAATACTCGAATTCTCTCCACTCCTCTCCATCTCCATATTTGCTTCTAAACTGGGCTGTAGAGATTTGAAGGATCTTCCTCGATCACATAATGGGCACTTTTTAAAGAGAATGATCCATCAACCGACCCCTTCCATGATAAAACATCATTGCCAGCTTCAGGCATGGGGGCCAACATAGTAGTTAATCTCTGGAAAACCTCACTTGAGACTATGTTAGCCAAATGTTCAAAATCCCAAGCACCAAACGCTATCCACTCGGCAACCTTACTTTCCTCCTCCTCTAAGTTAAGACTTCTAAGATGTCTATCACTTACTTTAATCTCAGAGGAAATCCAATTGTTAGTAAAGAATTTGACGCAAAGACCATTTCTAACATTCCATTTCATATACGTCTTTCCACTATATCTTTCTGCCTGGACACAAATTTCCACAAGAGAGAATCACTACCGGCTGCTTCAAGCAATTAACTTTATTTCTTAGCATGTACTTTTGCAATAAAACCTCAGCCCAGAGAGAAGAGAATCCCATGATCAAATTTTACGCAATTTTGGTGCCACACGCCCTACTCAAAGAAGATAAATGTTTAAAACCAAGTCCACCATAATCCTTAAGGAGTGTCAACTAATCCCAACCTATAGGATGGAATCCATGAGAATTGTTGCCTTTTCCCAATACAAAATTCCTCTATAACCTCTCCCCTTCCAAACAAATGGTCAGAAGTGACTTAGCAACAAACATAAGATAGAGAGGGATAGCACTAATGACTGGTTGCACTAAAGTAATCCTGATCGCTAGTGATAGGCAGTTCTCTTTCCAAGTAGACAGCTTAGATCTGACCCTATCAATGATGTAATGAAAAGTTTCTGATGATTTGCCCCCTTTGATGATTGGAAACCCCAGATAGTTCCCTATATCATATCAGTAGAGGTTCTCATACCAGTAACCTCCCTAAAGCTCATCCTGACATTATCTGGAACTCTAGGAGAGAAAAAGATGGAGGACTTACTCTGATCTTCTCCCCTGATGGTTGACAAAATTGTTCAAGACAATTCATCATACAATGAGCCTGGCATTCATTAGCGGCTCCAAACAGAAGCAAATCATCAATAAACATCAAGTGAAAAATGTTATACATGTTATACAATAAACATGCACAAAATTTTTATAATGACCAGAAAAAATACATCATACCAAATAATATGTCAAATTATCCATAATTTGTTAATAACACAATCAAATTTGCTATACAGGAAGAATACAGTGAGCATGTATTTATATTTTTGGTTTACAAATTTGAATAATAAATCTTTACAGACTAAATCAGACTTGTAAACATAAGAGGATTGCGGACTTCAATTTGCCCGTATTGAAATTCTCAGAAGCTGCGTTCCTTTCCATTGCAGAGCCATCTCGTTGCCATTATTGCCTTCAATCTTAACCTCATACCACCCTTCCATTCCTCTCAGCATTTCTCCAACTTCCGTTAATGTCTCTTCCCGCAAGCTTCCACCCTCTAACTCTATTTCTGATTGAACATTTCCACATTGTCTCATCTCCTCCCACCTCCGAAGCCAATCCTCACATGATATATATGGCGCCACGAATAGATTCTCCATAGCTGTTCTTGCCTCTGAGAATTGGAATGGGAAATTTGATTCTATGGATTCTAATAAAGCATGGTAATGCTCCAAATGGCCATTAAAGAAGGACATGAAATTGGTGCTGTTTCTCAGTTTCTCACAGGCTTCTCCATCACCAAAAGCTATAATTCCCCTGTTGGAAGGTGCACTTTTGATGAAATCTTTTGCTACCCTAAGGAATTCCAAGACATGGTTTCTACTTCGGACCCTCCCCATATGTGGAAGACCCGCCATGCAATTGAAGGCCACGAAACTTCTCTTTCCATTTCCATGCCCTCCTCTTTTGTTCAATTTCTTGAGATCTGTCACCAATTCCTCTATACTCTGTTCCTCCACCTTCAACTTCAAACCACATGATTTGGCATGCTCATACAGGTTACTTCTGATTTCTTTAAATTTCCATTGGGTTGAAGCAAAATCAGCATCAAGATTGTCCTCTTCTTCGTGTCTTATTGACGTCAATTTCAAAGTTTTGCGCCGTTGAGCGATAGCCTCCATCAATGGAGGCCATTGACACCCGTCTCCCATATCAAAGTCTATTATATGTATGACTTCTGAATCAGCTGGTATGGAATCCAGAATTGCTGAATTGGCCGCAAAATGAGCAGTTTTGCCGTGTGGGAGGCCTTGGTAGATAGCCTTAAAAGCGTGGAGGAAGCTTTTGCTGGCCTCCTGTTTGATGAAAATCCCTTGCTCTGTAGCATTATGATTTTGGGACAAATTGAATGCCAGACGTTCAAGGGGATCACCAAGAGGGCTTGCTTTGTGGCTGATGCGTCTCAGAATCACTTGTGCAAGTGCGTTCTGTCCTTGCTCCAAGGCTTCTCCAATGGCTTCCAGAAGATGAGGAAGACTCACCTGGTTCTCCATCTCCACGTCCTCTGCTGGTATGATGAGTGATGGTGTAGACATGTCTGATTGCGTAGATGGGGTTGGACTCCAAACATCTTCTGTCTCAAAACACAATTTCTTTGAAGGAAGGCTTCCCTCACGCTCTTGTGCAGATCCATGGTTTCCCAGACTTTGAGAACTGAAAGTGGGATCAAAACCATCAAGATCCATGGAGAAATCATCAATCAATGATGGGAATTGAAGGCTGTTCTCATCAATTGTACAGTAGACATGATTATCGAGGAAGAGGGTAGAAGGAAAGGGGAGATTGGAAGTAATCTCAGAACAAGTATCCTCCGAAGCAGTGAACAATGAAGCATCCATGTTGAAGTCAAAAGACTCAACTTGATCAAAAATTGAGCTTATGCCTCCATAGAACGACCAAGAGGGCTCAAGTATCTCGGGCTCCATCTTCTTTCTATTCTAATATTTCTACACGCCAAGGAGAAAGAAAGAGACTCTGGGTGATATGGTGAGTTGGCTCTCTGAATATTTATACGCGAACTGAAGAAACATATGAAAACAAATAAATCCAACGTAGCGGCTAGTTAGAGAAGAAGGATATATATATATGATAAACTAGTAATACTAAATATGCTTGACATCTTTATGTATAATGTTATGATGATATAATGTTTAGTAAATCAAATTTACAAGAAAAAATTGTTTTAGTTCTAGAATGGATAATGTAAAAGTGAAGAATATGTATTGTCAATCGTTATCAGGTGATAATAGATAAACACACCAACTTGCCTTTTAATTACATAGTTTTTATTCCTAGAAAGTAGCCATTGCACGCCTCTCTCGTGTCGGCACTTGGCAGCATCTTTAGAATGTCCTGTAGTGGATGAATGAGCCTCTGATGTTAACTATATGCATTAATTATAAAACCAAGAGATTAGTTTAATAATTAATGTCCATTTCCAATCACAATTACGTTTCACATCATTAGGAACATATGCAGAAGCTTCACCGAAATGGCCACGTTACGCGATGAAACTCAATACTATCTCCGATCCTAATTATAAGAGTCAGTTGACTAATTTGAGGAGATTAAGGAAATAAGTTGAGTTAGTTATTTGTCCTAAATAGGTGTTGTCTTTCCTAAAATATCTTTGTTAATCAAGTGTATTGACTAGAACTATCATTGTTAGAAGGGTTACTTTGGAAAAAAAATGTATAAATATGAGAGACAAAGTGGATTGGAGTCTTATATTTAGGATCAAAATAAAAATCAAACAGGATTTTATATTAAGGACCGGAGGTAGTATTAAGAAGATCTTGGGAAATTCTTGTATAATGATACGTGTTAGCCTCTAATAAGAACCAATTTTTTTAAGTGCACTTTTTCGCCTAACTAATGAATTCGACCTGAAAATTGGATAAACGGAGTGAATGAAATCTATTATAGTGTGCGTGTGTGCGTACATCATGACGTAAGAATCTCCATCAAGTCACACACACACACCCACATCTACCCAATGATTTTCTCAAGCCAATGACCTATTCAATAGTAACATGCCTCTAATTAAAACTTGGATTATGTGTTTGGCTGGATTTCTCCAAGCTCAAATCTTACAAATTCATTTTGCATTTCCACACGAATAACATATTTGATTGCTCACAATCAACAATATTTCATTAGGAACTACTACCTCCGGTTCTAATTATAAGAGTTAGTTGACTAATATGAGGAGATTAAGGAAAGAAGTTAAGTTAGTTATTTGTAATAAATAGATGTTGTCTTTCCAAAAACATCCTTACTAATCAAGTGTATTAGTTAGAACTACCATTGTTAGAAGGATTAACTTGGAAAAAAATGCATAAATATGATAGACAAAGTGGATTGGGTCTTATATTTAGGATCAAAATAAAAGTCAAACAATATCTTATATTAAGGACTGGAGGTAGTATTTTGTTCCAAGGGAAAATGAGATCAACCCTCATTCTCACTCTCAAAATCAAAAAATACCAAAGACCCGCAAATACATTCTTCTTTCATCTTTCTCCATCACGTACTTTAATTTGTTCCTATAGATGTGTGTGTATATATATATGATGTATATGACTAATTAAATATGGAATATTATGTTTGAGATTGTCTGTTTCATCAAACTATGTGAAGAGTGTCTTTGCCAGCCCTCCCCGCATTGTTAGCTATTTGATTTAAAATTAGGAGGATCATTAATGGAAATGTATACATGCATGCCTTCAACTCCTGTGCGTGTGTAGATGAAGATGGTAGGCATATTTATCGTAATTAGGTCTAGTAAATCAGAAATTAGTTGAACTATCTTTAGCTGTTTTCTTTTCCTTTTTTTTTTTTATCTAAAAGATATTAAGAAAAATAGAGAAAAAAGGATACTAAGAAGGAAACCTCCAAAGAATAGTAAAAAAAGATTATTATTGTTGAGAATTTTCCCTTCTAATGTGTCTTCTTTCTTCTGTTTTCCTCCTACTTTTTCCTTCATCCAAACCAAACATTAAAGAAGTTCGCCCACATACAAAAGCAAAAGTCAACTATCAGAAGCAAAAATGGACATATATAGCAGAGACGAGTTTAATAATATTCAAATTTCTTTTGGCAAGATAAAGCATAAATGTTGTTTCAGTATACCAGTAGTGATACAATAAATAGCATCATATGCGCTTTCCTTTATTAATTATTTATAATCCATTGAAGAGGTCATATAGAATGGGCCAACCAATAAATCACTTCTGTCTGCAATATTGGAATGCTATGTTTCGCGTACGTACGTGTAAAATCGTGAATTTCACGTTATACATATAGTCATTCTAAATTTTGCATATATATATATATATATATATATTTACGTTGATCAGTCTCTATAAAACTTCTTCCTTCTTCCAACATGAAAAAACAAATAAACATTAATCGAAGTATACTTGTATATTTTGGAAGATGTAATATTCATATGCAGTGCATATTTAAACATTCTTGTGCGGGAGCTAAAGATATTCTTGATCTTATGTAGCATACACTCAATCAAAAGCGTTACATCATTGCTTTATAGTTTGTGTGTGTGTGTGTGTAACGTTCTATCTTTGACCAATATATATATATATATATATATATATAACTTGTTCTGTGAAAATGTATACTACTTCGATAGGTACAAGATTAATTTGCATATGAGGATGATTGAATGTAACATTTATATACCAATATATAAATTTTGTAAGAACCCAAAGTATACATGTGACTTGACTTGGGAATATGGTACTTTTTGGATGATTTTGGATGGATGTTTACGCTTAATTATTTGAGTAATTGAATTACTTGAAGTTAACATTGACATGGAGAGAGTAAAGTTCTTTTTGTTCATCCGGCTACACGAAGTGTCCCATGATTCTTTGCATCATAAATTCATAATAACGTATCTTCTACAATGCATGAGTTAGCTATATTTCTAATTACAATTACTAATAACTTTGAGAAATTATTTTCATTATAAGTTTAAATTAAAGAGTACTTATTGAAAAAAATCAATTAATTGTCCAACTTTTTTTTTGGGATACAATTTAAGTGTCCAACTTAATGATCTAAAATTAGATTTCACAACTTTTTACAGAACACAAAAGCATCTAAAATGGACTCGCACAGTAAAAGCAAAGCCGAAAAGATAGCATTTAGAAGTTATGGTCCAATTCTTAGTTTGGGAGCATTTTGAAGCTAACACTATTATCAGTGAATTTAGGAGAATTTAGAAGATATGTTAATACTCTCCTTGCTTCTAAATATAAAAGTTAGTGATGAAATTTATATTTTAATTCTAAATATAAAATCTCAATGCCTTTCTTAAATTTATAATTTTTTTAAATGTTTCAATTGATTGTACATATTGAAAAGTTTTTATTAAGATAATTTGAATACAAATTATTAAAAAGGTATTTCAACAGAATTATACATAATTTTTACAAATCATTAAATTTTTTAATATTTAAGAATGAGGTTTTTTTTTTTGCTAAAGCATGGGTATCCTCCTATTTGAGGCAATCCTATTCGAGACACTGTCGGACATTAAATGTGGGCACTTCTTTCAAAGGAGATTCGAAGCTTGGTTCACCACTTTGTGAAGGATTAGCCCATTCTGCTGGATTCAACCCCCGTTGGTTATTTATGAATGAGTTATATAGCTTCCATATTAACCATGTGGAGGAATTAATATATTTTGAGTTAAGGTGCATCCAGTACCTCAAAATATTTTTTTAGATGCATCCAATATCCTAAAATATTTTTTTAATTGCGTCCACCACTAGGAAGTTTTTTTTTTTTGGGTACATCTAACAACCAAAAATATTTTTTTATGTGCATCCAATACCCTAAATTTTTTTTTTTTATACATCTAGCACCAAGGCCAAAAAAACTTTAGAATGTTAGATGCGCCACAAATACTTTAAAGTACTGGATGTACCCAAAAAAATATTTTAGGATACTGGATACACCTTAATCCTATATATTTTAACCTAATGAGTGGCATGGGATCTGTCAATTGAACGAATAATTAATGAATTAATTTCGATATATTTACATGCTTGGAACCTGTACGGAAACTTCTCATTATATGCCCCCTAAGAGTAGTGATTGGAACTAGGAAGGAAGTTTCCAAGACACAGGTCTAACGCAACATTGTCATATTGGAATAAACCTGACGTGAAACTCACATAGCTTCTACACACACACAGATTATAAAATGTTGGCCAAAAAAATATACAGATTATATAATATTGGACCTAAAATTTTGATCATTGATGAATTTCGACAGAAGCAATACTATAAGATTCCAGATAGCAACAACCACAATCTTTTAATAATTTGACATTATTAACTTTGTTTTATCTGTTGACCTAAAAAAAAAATGTTGACTGGTGCTAAAGGGTAGCACACCGCACATATATGAACAGTTCCAATTGCAATGCCACTTTAATATTCATATATATATATTAACCAAAGAGTTTTATGGCCAAATATTAATCCAAAAAAGTATTGAATCTTAGATTTGTCTCTTAATTATTATGCTTGCGTGCATGTGTGAACTCACAGACTCTTATGTTGTGCACATTAGCATAAGGTGAATAATAAAATAATAATGTCCGGATTTAATTAATACTCGAAGATATTTTTACTCCTTCATTCTGCATATATATCATCTTGATCATTTATTCTTTTATTTGAAGGAGAAACTTAAGAAGGAAGAAAACGGAAAGAATCTCTGATGAAAGTGAAAGGAACAAAACATGTAATTAAGTTTAGTTTTATATATGAATAATATTATCATTTGACATATTTTAACACTAAAAACCACGCTGAGCAATTTTTTTAATTCCTTGGCATTCATGACAGTATGCATTATATATATCGTTCTCACGTGGGATCCAAAAACGTTGTA